TCTTCTAAAATACTCCTAAAATCTAGATTGTTTTGTCACGTTTTGTTATACACCATGACCGACTAACGGTGTCAAAGATATTTTTTCTCTCTGCTTATCTGTTCGATTCGCCTCATGTCAGTTTATCCAGAGGCCTTGGATTCTGGATCCCACGCCGTGGATTCCCGATTCCAGGTGCTGGATTCCAGTCTTTTACAGTGGAACTTGGATTCTGGATTCCAATTGTTAGTAGGCTGTATTTCACAAGTGAACATTATCCAATTTCGGATTCCACAGGTAAATATTTGCCGGATTTCCTTGCATGGCGCGATTCGATGCAGTTGCAAGCCTGTGTGTACTTCTAAATCAAGTCAGAAAATCGTCACTACAAAATTGTAATAGAATAGAATAGAAGATATTATTGGATATCGTTGTACACCTAGTATTTAAAAGGATGAAGCTAAAAGGAGAATTTTTTGCTGTATAATAAATATGTGAAAAATTTACCACCAGGATAGCAATAAATTGGGTATTTAAACTGCTGGAGTTTGGTCCATTTCGTCCCTTAAAGTTGTTGTTAATAGTTTCAGAATATTGCTTGATAAATCGGGTTTTTATGTTTCGTTAAATCTTTCTTGCCATCTTATTTTTTCCAGCGCTACTATAATGAGTAGGTTACAACAAGAGAGAATGGCTCATTCTCTCTTGGTTACAATTGTTGCTTAATTACTCCGTAATTTACGTAAGCAATATACCGAAAAAGAATTTTACAATCTGAGTGCACTACAGCACTACTAAAGTGCTTTCGTTTTAGTTGTCACCCCGGGGGGGTACTCCCATACATTACCTATACGGGTATGTGCCGCCCTAAGGGGTCGTGATTTTTAAGCTCTTGATTTAGAACGGGGTATCCATTTCAGAGGCGTTTTCTAGAACGGGGTATAAAATTTCGAACGCACGAAAGCTCCACTTTTGTAAGCAGCTATTTGAAAGTATTCAAGGACAGATTGCTTTTAAAAATACGGTTCAATGCGTTAACAAGCAAACTGTTGTACTCTTGTTGCACCCTAGAACGGAGTATAAAAAATTGGCCCATTTCTAGAACGAGGTATCAGTTTACGGGCGATTACTAGAACGGGGTATAAAAAATTGGCCCATTTTTAGAATGGGGTATCAATTTTAGGGGAAATTTTTTCTAGAACGGGGTGCCAATTTGGAGTCCCGGGCGGCACATACCCACCAAAAAAATACCCAAGTGCCCCCCCCCGGGGTTGTCACACAACAGGATCTTGTCGACAGACAAAGCTAACAACATGTCTTTATAATGTCTGCATTGTTGATTCCAGGGGTCAAAAGATAAAGCTCACTTGATAACTGTGAGCAAAGTATACTTTTGTCTGATTGATTTGTTGTGGAATAAGATTGGAAATGCTCCGATTTGTTGAGAGAACAAAATGGCCTCGAGTAAGTTATCCGAAGAGGGACAGTAAACACCCGCGTTTTAGAACCTGCTTTTTAAAAGTCTGGCAAAATAGGTGTTTTATCAGGGGGCACCCAACGGCAATTTTCGGGAAAATATCTGTTCGGAAGACGATTTGAGATCTGGAATTTTCGGAGCATTTGTTGTAAAATTTCTTGCTTGCCTGCCTCTCCTTCGATTTTCGAACATCTACAAAATGGTATAATTACCCATTTTTAAAGGATTTTAACCCTAAAAAAAGGCCACCTAGAATTTTCGGGAGCCTTTTCCTGGCTGAAATTTTCGAGAAGGTAAGTTTTGATCCCTATAATTTTCGGATCACTAGACTTTCAGCTAGGAAATCCGAACAGATGAAAAGTTTTTAGGGGATAAAAATATGCCTATATCTACCGTTTGAATACTAAAATACGTTCAACAATGCTATGTTAAGTGGTTTTGAACTATATTCTCGTTGGGTGCCCCTGTTTTATTGTGGGAACTATCTGGCAGTTTAGGCTAAGTAGGTTTTAATGAGGTAAATTTATATGAGAGATATAGTTGTTGACTGCAGAAAAATAAAGAAACGTTTGTTCGGTCCTTGAAAATACAGTATATATATTCACAACTGTGCATTGCAAACAGTCTATATGCAAGGTCCATGAAGGCAATTACAGTGTCTCTAGAAAATATAGAATATAGAACATTTGAAGCGTTCATATTTTAAACACCTTACAGAAATAATCGCCAACTCAGGTTGAGATTGTTCAAAGACTTTCCTTTTTTCCAACGTGCTCATCTGAGACGGCCAGCGCGGGAAGCCAATAGGAGCGCGAAGCACGGATTCTTGCGATGCTGTTGAAATAAAATTACGAGAGCATAGAGGGAAATTAACAGTGTTGTCGCCCCCCTCCCCCCCCCAAACCCTCTTGCTAATCTTCTTTAACTTCGATATCACTCTTTAACAAATTTGTGATATATTCTCCCTACTGTTCGTCACATTTGAAGCAGGGCTTAAGCTCCCTCCTTCTCAGAGGCCTCTTTGTGCCTTAGGGAGGCTGGAGAGAGAGAAAAAAAGAAAGAGCGCGGGGCACGATGGGAACGGGAAAGGCTTTTCCCTCGTCCCATCGTTCCCCGCGCGCTTACTGTTTTTTAATTACTGCTATTTTTATTGGGATACCCAGCGGGAGTTTCTTGAGGAGAGAGGGGCTTAAGCATTTTCCGTAGGGCGTGTTTGATTAACCGTATCCTGGAGTAGGATGCATGGAATAGGCTCTAGAAATTACTTGTTTTTACTTTCATTTCATGATAAAATGCAGAATGTAGTATCCCATTGGTTGAAGATATTTCTCACAAATGTGGGAGTATTCTTATCCCGGAATACAATCTATCGAATGCACCCTTAGTATATTTAACTTACTCCTGGTACGTAATCATGGAAAGTCAAGTTTGTGTGTGGCGGCAGGAATAGTGAGGTATACGCCAGATTGGTGGCATTTAACTTTGTATGCCGGCTTAATTCGAAGCCGCCCCACTGCGATTAAAAATCAAGAATAATTTTAGTACGATAGTGGCTTTAATGATTCAGAAGTCTTCCTCGGGAGTAAGCAACTCGAGGAGACATGAGGAGACGGCTGAAATTTGATGTGATTCGATGTTTGTTGCGCGCACCATGCAGCAAGACATATTTTTACCTCGCTTTATAAGTTTTGCATTCTGCTACTTAATAGGGTGAAAGCGAAATTGTTTTGCGTGAATAGCTTTTAGAACGAAAAATAACGCTGTGATTTTTGTTGTTCGTACTGGGAGCGCGTTTTTATTTCATGTGCATGAAGGCGAAGTTATTCAGCGTAAATGGCTTATAGAACGAGGAATATTCATGTTTTAAGGTGATTCGCTGGTTTTACACTGCGCATCTCTTACTACGTGTAACAAGATGGCCGCCGTGAAAAAGGCATTCAAAGTAACATTATTAAAAAGAAGTTGACTGAAGAGAAACGCTATTAGAATTTTCGGTTACTGTTGATTCTTGCTGATATGAGACTCAATATGCAGGGAATGTGCATAACGTAAGCAGTACGAGTGTTACTGAGTTCGACTCTCTTACGGAGAACCTCGCTGGAATGGGTAAGACCACTTAACAGGTTCGTCAGATACTTGGACCATTTGTGGGCGAACTTCAATTTATTTACGTCCATATACAGCAGTTCCTTTTACTTTCTGCACCTAACTACTTGTGGTTAGCTACAATTACCAGAAACAAACCAACTTAACGCTACTGACAGTGCAGAAACTGAAGCTTTCCTCATTTCAGTAGCCACTGAACACTCGCATCTGCTTTCGCTTGTTGCTCTCACGTGACTTCTCACGACTCTTCCAAACAGAGAGCTTGCTCGCAGGCTACAGTTTAAAGTTTAAGTCGATATACAGCAGTTCCTTTTACTCTTTGAGCCTAGCTACACGTATAGTTAGCTGACAATAACCACTAATCGATAACAAGAAACTAACCGATTCAAGAAAAAGCTCAATGGATTAATGAAAAACCAAAGCTACATTACAGTGAATAAAGTTTTTCTCACTTTAGTCGCCTTTGGTCACTTAAACTCTTGATAGGTAAAAGTGTTTTCTTCCCCTTAACAATGGTTTGCCTATAGTGATGATTATCATTGTCGAAACTAAAAGCCTACGCGATTTTATCTTTTTCATAAAGTACCCTTTAAAAGTTACGAGGTATTCTTAGAATAACCCTACTATCACCGCGTTGCAAAAAATTCAGTAGTTTTTAGTGTTTTATCTTCTTGTTACAGCTTATGTTTAAGAAAAGGTGCATATATTTTTGTTGGCCGTATGACTGATTACACAGCAGTGAAAAGTTACTTCTTATTCAGGCAAAAGGCTCCTCCCTTTCTTTATTGCTTGCCAGCTAATCAAACTTGAGAAAGAAGATGGGATTTTAAAAATTCAAAATAAGAGAAGCACGTCACCATTATCTAGAAATGAGGGAGTGGCCTTCTCCCTTGGCAATGTTTTGAAAGTACATGGAATTTTAAAAATAAAAAGACTCAGTTTCTCAAGATTTCAAAGCAGCGGCAATACTCTTAAATAAAGATACAGTCGAATTTCTACTAAGTGCCACACCTCTACAACGGTCAACCTTTTCACTCCCAAAAATAATTCCAAAGTTAACTTTGCAAAATGAAAATAATCCGAAAAACTATTAGCACGATGTGAAAGTACTGCAAAATTGGTTTCATTTGAATTGTCATACCAAAGGTTTTTGTCCACGATCTTAACAGTTGGAGTGCGTACAGAACAAATAGTGGTGAACAAACTGAGGTTTCATATATATGGTTGGAACATAGAATTTCATCCACAGACTCAAACGTTATAACACTGACATTACAAATGTAGAATTACCATGCGATAATCGTACTAAGGAGGTCATTAATTTGCCAGTGATTGGTGAAACTGTAGGATCTCGTTCATGGTTGCCAAAAATTGCGTCTCGCTTCGATTAAATCTGGGAGTAAAAAAGTTAAATACAGACTGACTGCAAGTATAACGCTTAGATTCGAAATGGAATATTAAACTGCTTAGCCAGAACTCTTAGTCGAGAATAGATAACATCCCAGTCGAGGTAAAACCCTTGCAAGTAACGCTTTGTTTGCTTGTTGACGATGAAAGAGGATCTACCATGTAGCACGCGGCTGTTGTTGAACGTTACAACTTCGCCGGGTAACATTTTATGCTCAATTTGATTGGCTGGATCTGCTATCATCTTGCCAATTGTCAGGTAGGCTTCATACAGTTGAATAGTTTTTTCTGGAGAAACATGCAGCCCGGAATCACGCGTCGGATTGTTGCACGAGAATCGGACGATGTTTTCATTCTCGTCCAACCTACGAGAAGAAGATTAACACAGGATCAAAACAATGGCCCTAAACATGCATTCATTAAACTCTTTGCCTCCTTTTTTTGGTAGCTGTCTTAAATGTCTTTTAGGTCTTTCTTCGTCGTTTAAAGTTTCGAAATCCTAAATTGAACCTACAGGCCGTCCACCGCCAGTGTGGACGTATTCTTGTAACAAGACGGCACGTCTACCTAAATCCTCTATAAAGCCCCTCCGGGGCTTAAGTATTTCAAACACATTTCAGGGGGGAGGGGGGCTTATTTGAGAGAGGGGTTTATTTAGTTCAACAAAGACGATGGTATCAACTAGAATGCAAAGTGGAAAAGTTCAAGTACAAGAAGTTGGAAGTCATGTAGCCGAGGATCGAAATCAACTCCAAACTTCCAGCTAGTGAATAAACCATCCTAGATCAGTCCACACGAGGTTTTACAGTCGTGATTGATTAAAACATTCTATCATTTACTAGTGAATAATAATAATAAGGGAAAGAGGGCGGGGGCTTAAAAGAGATGGGGCGGGGGGGGGGGGGGTATTAACTTTCTTTTCCTGAAAAGGGTGGGCCATTAGAGAGGGACTTACTTGACTTGAGAAAGGGGGGCTTAATAGAGGATTTACGGTATATGTATTGTTGTTGGCAGAGTGTAGACACACAATAGGGCCATTTATACGGGGAAAAATAAGACGCGTCTTACATAGGACGCCTCTTAAATTGACGCGAACTTTCCGTATAAACGGCACATTTCGTCTAAAATAAGACGCAGCTTAGCTAAGACGCGTCTTATTTTAGAACAGCCCTTAACACCTGTTCTTAGATAAGACGCGTCTTAGCTAAGACGAGAAAAACTTCGTATAAATGACCTTCGTAACGCATAGTACGCATCCGTTAATTTTTGACGCGCCACGTTGGATTGTCGTTGCTGGGGTCAACATTTACATGAAAACGAGTCAAGAACAGAAATAAGACGCGAACCATTTATACGAGCTGTTCTCGTCTTAGATAAGACAAGCTCGTATAAATGGTACAGTTCGCGTCTTATTTTTCCTCGTATAAATGGCCCTAATGACTAGTTTGCTGTTACAAAGCCCGAAAACGAGATCTTTTTTTTCCTTCTGGACGGCGCCTTTGAATAATGCTGTGCTGGCACAGGTATTGTAAGACAAGTCTGTTTTTACTTACTGTCAAAAAGTTGTAGGATTTTTGAAACACTCACTCTATTATGTGCCTTGCAAATTTGGTGTGAAATTCGCCAAAGATGTCGATCCCTTTAGCAGTGAACGGAATGCGCGTGGTTGACAAGAGCTTAAACGCTTCCGGGTCTTTCTCCCTCAGCTCCTCTGCTACATAGAATCCATCTACAAACTGATTGCCACCTCCTTCACTCAACACTTGCTCAATACAATGGAGAAGTTGAACCTAAACAAAGCATGGCATTTGCCACTTTAGAAACGAGAAGGAGACTGGAGCCAAAATGTGTACCGCAATTGATTCTGGGATCGTTACTTGGGACGCGTCAGGCAGCTATTGGCCATTTTTTTTCTCCTGTCCCTGGTTACAGTTCCAGAAGTCTTTGCGAAATTTTTCATTCTCGTTTCAGTAGTGGCGAATGTCTGTTGTAACGTATCAAATGAAGAGCTAAGCGTCTCCAAGGCAAGCAACAAGAAAGCTGGTGATATTTTTCTTTTTCTTGTCTTTCTTTATTTTTTGTTCCTTTCTTTTGTTTTTCTTTATGTTGTCCTTTTTGCCTAGGAATGTACTCCAGAAAATATAGAATAAAACTTGTTGCAACTTGTTTCGCAACATTGCTGCAAAACGAGTTGAATAGCGAGGTTGCGCGTTTTACCACCCACCTTAAAACTGTCTTGCAACCAACCTCGTTCCCAAGTTCTCTCTCCGAGAGAACCCTGGGAACGAGGTTGATGCAGAAAGTACAGAGTAGTTTTCACGTTTTGCAGCAAACTCTGTACATGTTTACTTGCCTTTTTGCAACAAGTGACGTAACTTCCTTGTATAGCGTGGCTCCCGTCTAATTTTACCGACTTTAAGTTTAGGTGGACGGCAACATAGAGGACGGTGACTTTTGGCCGCGGCGGCTTGGGGAGGGACGACGTTCACTTGGCGAGAGAAACAAACTTTAAGTTTCAGTAGAGGTGACGATCGAAGACGTTTTTCTAACTTTCGGAAGGTTCGAGAGAATGAGTTCCCTGAAAGATCCGAGTGATTTTGGTCTACTTTTATATGATGGTGTCATATCAGATGAGGAATTCGTTCTGTTGTACAATGTAAGCTAGTTGAGCGCTTTGTTACTCGAAAGACAATGTTCGTCGCTTCATTGAGCCTATTTGCTATCTACGTTTGCCACATTCTCCCACGCTCCACAGTTCTTAGGCTAACAACTGGTAATCGAGCTTACACAGTTCTGGGCTTGAAACGATGGGATTCACTTGCAAGAATTTCTTTAGCAAGCTGAATATCGTGAACTTTAGTCCACTCCACATTCTTAAAATAAGAACAAATAATTAACACGATGGACAATGCGCGCAATAAATAAGCTGCGAGTTCCTTCATCCTGCTTTATCACGAGGTTTATTTTGTCGAATAATGAACCTATGAACACGTAATTTTATTTTGGCCTATAACTTAAGCAGAAAAAATGAACTAAATACTTCGCGAATAAAGAAAAGAGTAGAAGCCGATGTTCACATGATGCGAGAATATTAAATGTGCTAATTTTATCGCTGGGAATTCAAATCTTGCATTTGGACAAGTTCAGTGTGCTATATTCCATCATAAAATAGTGTTACAATAAGTAATTGAGAAAGGTTTACCATTTGAAGTAAACTAGACATTAAAGAAACAGATTAAACCGATATTCTGTCAAAATAAAGATATTTTGAAGACAAAAATAGGAAGAGAAAACTCACGTTCTCGAGACACCGCCGCACTAAGCTTTCTCACCGTCGCGACGTGCAGTCGACGAAGGCTGGACGGCTGAGCCATGCCAATTAGCCCCAAATCGGGCAACTTTTATTTCCGGTTGCTGTCCTCCACCTTACCGTCCACCCCAACTTAAGGTCCGTTTTATCCAATTAGATGTCAGTACTGACGCAACTTGCAACCACCTAATTTGTTGCAAGACAGGTTTGAAGGTGGGTGATAAAACGCGCAACGTCGCTATTCAAATCGTTTTGCAGCAATGTTGCAAAGCAAGTTGCACGTTTTTTTTGTTGCCCGTTTTATCGTAGCTTAACTTAAGTATTTTGCTTAGTATGTTTGACTTACCCCTGGTACGTAATCATGGTAAGGCATGTCAGTGTGTGGCGGCAGGAATAGTGAGGTGTACGCCAGATTGTTGGCATTTAACTTTGTATGCACTTCGAAGCACTCACTGCAAATGAAATTCAACAATATTTCTTAGTATAATCTTTGGCATCTTCCCGTAATGTCATATACTGAAAAGGGTGACCTTTAAGAGAGAATCGACTGTAATTAGGTAGCCTGCTAGAAGGCCCTCGGAGGTGGGATTGCGGAGGGAGGGTCTCCACCGACTCCGTCTAACCGCCCACCTCCCCCTGAGAGCTTGCTCTCTGGCAGGTAATTGAATAAAATTGAATGAAATCAGGTGGTCTCACAGCTGTGATAACAGCATTCCTAAATCGTGGTCAGTTTGTTCTTTCCATATAAAAAACAATTATATCAAGAAAAATATGTAGACTGAGTTTCGTGACGTCTCGCGTTGTTATTCCTCACTTGTTTGGACGTGGCTCCGTTGTTATTGCATGCAAAGACAATCTCCACCCATGTTTGCCTTTAGTTGTCTTGACATTACAAATTCTTTTTTTATTGCGTTCAAAGTCGCTCTTACAACGAAAAAAGGTATTATCAGCAAAAAGAGTGTGTAAAGGAGTCGTGGATAACCGTTTTTTTACCTCTATTTCATTTCCATCTAGCATCCTATAATGGCAGTTACAGATTGTAAATTTGAAAAATCCTGATCTAAAACAAGTACGGCTCGTTGAGTCACAATGTTTAGTAGGCTTTGCTATAGAGCTTAGAGTTCACACTGCAATCCTTTTGGCTCATACTTTCTCCTGTATTTTGATTCAAAACAGATCCGGAGGTCTCTTGCATAAACAGTGCTCCGACAGTCCTAAAAATGTTTCATAATCTTTAGTAATTTTCAAATGTGATATGACTCCTTAAACAGGAAATAAAGAAAGTATTACCTAGGTCAGCTGTGAAGATGATATCAGACCTTTTCTATCGCAAGTCGAATGTTTTTTTTTTTACCACACCTGTTTAGTAGTCAAGCTTGTCAGTAACTGGCACCCACAGATGAACAGTGTGGTTTGAATTTAAAAAGAAGAAAAAAAATAAGCGTTGAACACTTGAAAAAAAAAAAAAAAAAGGAAAGGAAAAAGGGGAAGAAATTAAAGTATATTTTTCCATTTTTTTCCTTCCAAAATAAACCAAAAGAATAGATCCAAGATATGATTCGTGTCATGATTAAATGTTAAGCCCCGTGCAAACGGACGCAAAGTTTGAAACCGGTCAAACTTTTAGCTACGCCAGCAATGTTGGGAGTTGTTGCGTCCCTTTGCACGTAGCTATAACATTAGATATTTCCGCACTCATCCCTCGGGGTCCACAGAGGATAAGTGGTAAATATTTCCTCCTCATTGTATCCAAAAAGCATGCAGAGTTTTGTTGTGTTTTGTTTGTTTTGTTTTGTTTTTTTTTCAAATCGCCCTTATCAATCTAAACATTATAAAAGCCTTCAAAACAGATCATCGTAAATATGTTTATCGACAGAAACTGAAATTTAATCTTTAACGCCTTATTTCAAAGCAAAGCAAAAGTGACAAACAAAACAATGAACAAGAGGCCGAATTTCTATCAATAAATGTAGTTGGAAGAACCTCCTTCGTAATAGAACTGGTAGAAATACGGTAGTTAGCCCTCCTTTAAATTGTAGAAGTTTTCGTGTCTGTCCGTCAAATAAGACTGCCAATTATTTTAATCGCGGAAGGATTAGCTCATTCAGTAGAGCGCTTGACTGCAGAGAGGGAGGATGCGGTTTCGATTCCCGGGGCCGGACTAATACTCAGGGTCTAAAAATAACTGAGAAATGAAGGTACTTCCTTTGCCCTACAGCCGGCTAGACCTTCGCGTGGCTCGGATGACCACGTAAAATGGAGGTCCCGTCTCCATTAGGAGCTAATGTTAAGTACATTGACACTCAAATAAAGTCCATTTTTTCAGTTTAATATTTTATCATCGGTCGAAAAGTTGTAATGAAACAACAGTAAATGTATGTTTTTACTCACGCAGGTATCGCTTATAAATTTCAAGCAGCTTTGTCGTCTGTAATTTATTCATTTTTGTCAATCTTCTCGTGCTTAAGTCGGTCAGTATTGCCGTGTTTGATTGACGGAAATACTTGAATCGTAAATGTTCCTTAATTCTGGTTTTTAGATGTAACCGATTATCTAAGGGAAAACTGTAAATTGTTATGGTCACTCCATAAAAAACCGGCGTTTTCTGAAAGAAAATTCCCATGGTGTGAGTCAGTGTAAAGTTGGAAGGTTTGCCCCGCTCGGCAAATAAACCAATGACATGTCCAATTTCGATCGCGGTTTTCGGTCTTTATACTTGATGTCCATTTTGTGGAAAAGAAATCGATAAATTATTAACTATTTCAATGCAACTGTGATTTGAATTTTTTTTTAAGGGTCATTTTGCTTATAGGGCAAATTGTCTTTTCTTTCTTCAAGTTAGCGTTCGTTAATTCTTGAAGCGCAAATTAGCAAATTTCGCAAATCACTCAAGGTTTTAAATCATTTATGTTATCAATACTGTAAATACCAATTAATGAAATTAACAACATTTTAAAATTAATTCTACGTTAGCCCAATGTTTTCAGGTCCCCTGCAAATGCAACTACAATCGTTCACCGGGTTTGATTCGCATACTGAGGTAAAGTCATTTGTTAACGAAAAAATAATTTACATACCCAAAATTTGTCGTCTTTGTATACCCCACTCTTGCACATAGTTGATTGCATTCGCCTGGTTGTCGTGGTGTATTTTTCAATAGCGCAATTCCTACACTATGAAGCGAGTGCAACCATTCGTACAATGTAAAGTCGTCTTCAATGACGTCTTGAAAACTGTAGCTTGGGATCTTGCCCTGGAGTTTATTGCCGTTCCAAACTCTTACTCCCTCTCTCTGAAGGGACGATCGCTCCTTCGTCGTATTTGCCTGTTCAGTAGCCTGACTGGAATGAAGCCACTGCGAGCTAAAAAGACTAACATGTTTGTCTGGCCACGTGATGGAGATTTGTTCACCGTTTTGTAAAACCTCGACTCTCTGAGGTTGAATGTACATGTCTAGCTTGTTAAACGTGTCGTACGTTCGCTGGAGTGAAGATTCGTGGAAACACTCGGAGCATTGGCAGTTGTCGCGGAGGAAAACGAAGGGAAACCGACTTACTGTGTCGTTGTTCCATGTCACATTCAGCATCCGAGATCCGCCTGCCTGCTGGACATTCTGCACATTCAGTTTTTTTGATCGAGAGGCATTGTCGTAGTTTGCTTTTAAGACAGAAAAATATGCCCTATTTAGCCCTTTGGTGACCATGGGTCGACATCGGGAAATGTTACGAGCCAATCGGAAAATCATTGCAACTTGCAGTAAATATTCTTAACCGGTACAGCAGTCGTTTTAAGACTTAATATATGCTACAGCAACGCTAAGGTTAATATATTGTCGTTCTTCGGTGCCCGAAATGTAAAATTAAAATGATTTTGTCACCTTAGCTCGACAGTGCGTTCAAATCACGAGGGGTTTGAATGCAAAATGTACCTTTCTTGTTTTGCTTTTACTATTAACCCACGCACATGATTCTTTGCCACACAAGTTTTGACAACAAAATCACTGTGTGGAAACAGGTTGAGCAAGATTATGAATAAACAAAAATAACTCACGTAAATAACTAATCGGGTACATGATTTATGGATGATTTGGCCAACAATTAGCAGGACCCTTTCGGATACAGTTAGGAAGACGCTCTCCGCCTCCTGTATTCATATCGATTTGAAGTGAGGAATACTAGATGAGAGATTTCAACAGTTTTTCGCTTTGTAATTGCCGTTGTTGTCTGTTTTTGGCGAAGAACCTTGTGAAGGGCAATTGAAACCTGACATAACGTGATCCAGAAAGACCAGTTTGACATTCAAGAGCCTCTTTGAAAAGGATCTTTTAAATATCCGAGCGGAAATTCAAAGCGATTTACTTAATATCTTTACAAGACATATTGACTTCCGCAACTGCTCAAAGTAGCTCAACACTTTCAATTTAGGTTCAATTTTTTTTAACTTCGTTGAGGCACTATGCAATAAAAATTCATTTCAAAATCACCTGAAGTCAAGAAAATTAATTCGGGTCGCTGCAAGACTAATTCTGGCCCTTTGCCCTTTCTGCTTCGTTAAATTCCTGTTGTCACGAAGCTCAAGGTAAGGTTGAGGACATTGACGGTAACAAAAAGTCCAAAAATAAACGTAGGCTTATTTTAGTCGTGCCAAATCAAATTTAAAGCTTGCAGTAGTAACAATCAATCAAAGATTATCTAAAATCAAGAAAATTAATTTTAAGTAGGTTCCTGCAAGTAAACTTCTGGCTCATTTCCCCCTCCCCCCCCCCTCCAATTCGTCAACTTTAAATTTCCGTTGTCACGTGAGATGCGCGGTAACTGGGCTGACTAGGCTTGCGGAACGAAACTTGTCTTGTGATTATCTGAAAAATATTCAGAGAAATTGCGTTTGTGTGTGCCGGTTGTGGCGTGCTCGAAATTCCCAAGGCAATGTGTAAGTAAACAAACCCCATCAACGACCAGAAAGAGAATGTTACATTTTGTAGGTAATGTTTGCTGCTAAACGAGGAGCGGGGAGCGTGGAACGGGGAACGAAGAAATGAAAATGGGAACAAAGCAGGGAATGAAGTTACTAATGCAGCTCGGGTCCAACTGTGGTTCTGTTCCCATCACCAAACGAGCAAATTCATACAAAGGGTACCCCTCCAGCTGCCGTATGTGTTTGCATGGCGACTTTGTACTTGCATACCGGTCAAAGTGTCTAATTTTGGGTACCCTACTCATCTGGGTTAGATTTCCCAGTTTCAAGTGACTTTTCTTGCGTCACGGAGAAACAAACAGGTTTTTTTTCTGTGGTCTTGAGTAGATTCTTTGTAATTGGGTTTAAGTATTTGTCAAGAAAACATGGGGAAGTCTTTTTGGACTTAAAAGCGATCTTTATCTCAACTACTGACCAATCTAATTTCTCCTAGAGATTGCGTGTTTGTAATTACCATATACCAACACAAAAATGAATTAAATGCAAGTAATACGTTATAAGTTGGAGTGAACAGAGAGTAGAGTGTAGTACTATAAATAGGACTGTTGTTGACTGTGACCAACCTTCACTTTCATTAATTCATACTCTTTCGCTTGCAAAAACATGGCTTTCTAGACGAAACAGGATATCTCCCGGGCTTTAAGTTTTCCTCGTTTGTCTTTTAGGTTTTCTCTCTGAATCCGATTGACTGCAAACAAAATAGCCTCGATCTCGAGAGACAAACTTGAAATCGAGGCAAATACGGTGATATACATACATGCATGCCGCATTTATTTCATTGACCGCCCTGAGCACTTATTAAATAGAGGGCGCTTAGTAAATTTTCTCCATTTTCAACAAGAGTAGTATGTATATTTTGCAACAAAACAATAAATGGTGCAGTGATAGCAAAACGCGAAGTTGTAACAAAGCAAGGTTTCTGTAAAATACTCTGAAGAAAACCCCGTCTTCGAAGTCTTATTCAATTTCAACGTCAATTTGGAAACTTTCAACATTCTCGTAGACAATGAATCTAAAGACTGTAAGCCAGTAATTAAATAAAAATCAATACTACTCTCGTGCACTTAACTCCTTTTGAGTGGGAGGGGGAAGGGGGTGGGCACTTATTCGAGACTGGGCGCTTATTGACTTTTTCTGCCTTTAGGATGGACGGTTATTCGAGGTGGGTGCTTATTCGATTAAATACGGTACATACATACATATGAGGCTGGCTTCAGGCACAGGCAACCCACGCTGGTCACGTACGCGACCTGAATTAGTCTGCGACGAAGCCTGGTGGCCTCGCAGCAAAAATTTTCATGAGATAATGATAAGCAATGGCTAATGAGGCATAAAATGTAATAAAGGATTTGCCTGTTCTGAAGGAAGTGGAAAGTTGAAAGCGGGATGTTGGGAAGTAGGAAGTGGGAAGTGGGAAGTCGGAAGCCCCTCCGTGGCTTTTGTAATATCCATGATGAGCAGTCAACCCTGCCGTTTAAAAATTTCTATGGCTTCTTTAAGTCAGTAACACACAATTCAACATATGTTTATCAGAAAGTAGCATACGTGAAGGTTCTTAAATAGGCAGACCATAAAATGCCCGGCTGTCAGAAAATGGTAAAGAATTTCTAAGAAATGCCTTGTCGTTTTCTCCTGAAAGTATTCTATCTTTTTTTAGAAAACGAGACTGGTGGTTTCACAGCTGACTAGTTTTGTTCCCTTGGGCGTAGAGTTAAATCGTTGCGAGTTCGTTTTACCGAATGTCTAGAACAAGTCTCATGTTCCCCTTGAAAGTATTCCACATTCTACATGATCCCCCCGGGGGATGTACTTCCTTATAACAGGCTAATGTGGATGTGCCGCTGGATGGGGTCGCACATTTTCTGATATTTGGGGTAACACAGTTCTCCATATTACGTACCAGAATGTTTGTACTGTAGTCGAAAAGTAAAGTGTTCTTCATTCAGCGTGAGAAGATACATAAATAGAAAGTGATTGGGATCGCGAAAATTACACGTTTGCCAAAAGTGACTAAGATGGGGTGTATAATTGGCCACAGAATAGACTATAATAGGGTAGGGGGTATGAGAGGCCAGCGGTACATACCAAGCAAAGGTCAACCCGAGGACCCCCCCCCCCCCTGGGATGATGCCCCAGGTGGAGGGGGCACTCCCTTATAGGTATATACGGGTATGTGCCGCTGAACAGGGTATGGTATTCAGGGTCCTGAGTCTTCAACAGGGTATACGATTTCACTATTAAGCGTCTTGAACAGGGTGTCTTTTTTGAGTGGAATCTTTTAAAAGAGTGTGAAGGTTACGGATGAGCGGTTTCCAATGTGTACCAACAGCTCCTGCTACTAACAATATCTTTGCAAAATGTCAAACTCCATAGTGTTAGTTTTAACAATTACTTACCGTCTGTATGCTAAGTGAAATGAATCAGGGTCTCAAAATAAGGTCTCTTGTGTTAAACAGGGTAGCGAAATCAACAATTTTTATCTTAAACAGGGTCAGGATGTGAAGGTCTGGGTGGCACAGCTCTACCCAAAATACTCTTGAGTGTCTCCCCCGGGACGCCCGGCTGCCGGTCATATACAGCTAGCCATATGACAACAAATGTTGCAGCTTTCGTTTTGTTCACAGAGCTGAAACTTGCTGAACGGAATAGAGGCCAAAAACGCCTTTAACATTGCATTGTTCAACATTTGTTGAACAAAAGCAGCAACGTTTGTCGATCAGCGTATTACTGGCGCTTGCATATCGAGTGGCACTGAATTTTGCGATTCTAATTTTTGCCATTTTTGCGGCTATTTTTACGATCCGCTCTACGTAAACAAATATTACCAGCAAGAAAAACTAGTCTTTTCCCGTTTCAAAACTAGTCTTCGTCTGTTTTAACAAAGGAAATACAAATGAGATGCAAATTCATGTGGTTTGCCTATATCTGATAAACTTCAATGCCGAAACAAGACAACAGAATGAAGGCATTCGTGAAACCTCAAGGTGGATATTCGAGTTCGAGTTAGACTTCAAGTTCTAGTTCGACCACTGGTTGGAGATCGAGTGATTTCTTTTTTGTGTGTGTTTTGTTCTGTTGTTTTTTAAATGTAATTGTATTCATCTTTCTTTCGTCCATTGTTGTTTTCATGGATTATTACACAACAATCGTCGAGGGTTGTTTTGAGGGTGGGGATGGGGGTTGCGGGGGGAAAGGAGGGGCAGTTGGGTGTTGCGTCATTCACAAACAAGAAATAAATCCTGCACGTCGCGAGCAAAAGTCGCTATCGTGAGACAAACTTTGGTAGGCCCCCTCCTGGGATGGGGAGACTTTACACAAGCTAATTATTTGGCTCGTGTTTCGCTGACAAATTAAGCGAACTTGATAGTGATATAAATTGTAAAAACAACAAAAAAAACTGGAACTGATCTCCTCAGTTCAACAAACCTACAGTCCATCACGTAGTTCTTGCAATTTTGCGGCAGAGGTAACACATTTAACATTCCATTCAGCTTTTTGGTTGTTATTGTATCTGTGTTGAAGAGGAACTGTAATATTTTGCTTTTTCTTTCCCTTGAGCGCTTCACGAATTGCTTCAAGCCTCGTAAACAAGCCATTTCATTTGAAATAAGCAATCTGTTTCTTCCGAAGCAGGTGTTCTAGCACGCATTTCCAAATGTACGATCAAAGAACCCGTCAAAGATTGCGGTTTTGCTTGTAATATCTACCTGTAAAATATGCTTTTGTTTGTTATTGTTTCATTTTTGCGATGATGTTGATGATGATGTTTGT